GATGATGAAATTGCACAGCGGAAGCACACAAATACCAAGATTAGAATTGAAACGAAATCAATTCTAATTTACCGTCTCTCCCAGTTCAATCAACAGCACWACTYCAAGAATCCCAACCACGTTAACAACATCTATGAACRAATTATTTACAGAGTTTCATCGARGGAGACTTCTTCTTCCTCCCACACCTTCGAGCTCACAGCTATGGCGCAGGCCTGCGCCCAACCTATCAAGCCCACTAATCGCCACCAACCCTTGTATCCCCAAACAGTCACTCAGCAGTTCAACCGCGATGCCCACTGCAGATGACGTGTCCGATCAGCAAAGGAGGGGAGCTCCCTAGACGAAGAAGAAGCACAACAGCTCGATGAAGATGGTGACCTGCCACTTCGAAGCAGGCATGGAAAAGCTGCTTCGATGGCAGCTGTCAAAACCCCAACAGAACAGCGGTGGAGGAAGCATCTCACAAAGCAGGGCCTGATGCCCCGGGGCCAATTCCACACAAGCCAGGTAAACCCAGCTATGGCTGTCAGCTTCCCTTCAACGAGGAGGGAGGAGCAGCACTTGAAATTAACGCAGCTTCAGCAGCGACCTCCAGCAGCACTTCGTGGAAAAAAAAAATGACGAACAGAACCCCTAAAACTTTGCCCTCGGTACTTTTGTTCCTCTCCAGCCTCCCAGAAAGGACAGCCTACAGCTTAGTTTTGCATCTACAGCCTACGACTGTATCTAGACAGAAAACAGCACCAGAGGGGAGAGGCCTAGGTTCCTCCTACTGAAACAACCCAAAACAGCCCGAAGGGTCTATGACCAGCCAACAGAGATTGCTGCTGACAGGWCTAGGGATCGAGTCCAACAAGGCTCAAAATAAACAGGCAAACACAGCCAACAAGCAAACAAGCAAACAAACAGGTTGCGGGATCAAATCCCGAAGTACTCAAAACCGGGCAACATCAAACGAGGTTAGTGTACAGCTCGCATGCCACTGCAATTCATTGCACATTCAACTCCCCCACAATTTCTAATTTGTGATTTGGGTGTTAGTTTTTCTTTTTTTGACCCATCTGAAAACCAACTTACTGACCCGTCCCATTTTTATTTACTTATTTACTGTGTACGGATCCGGGCCGCCCGGCCGACCAGCGCCTGCCCGGGGGAGGTCCCGGGCGGCCTGGCCGGGCGGGCGGCCCGGTTGGGGACCGGGGCCCCCCAGCACACCTTGCTGGCTGGGGGTTTCCGACCCCGAATCAGCCAGATTATGTCTCCCAAGGGCCTACCGGGTCCGACCACGCCTAGAAAACGGCCTGTTTTTTTTTTTGAATTTGTGACGGCCCTCCGGCCGTCCATCATCCATGATCGACGGCCAGAGGGCCGTTTGTTTTTTGGAGGGAAAACCCAGGCCCCGTTTGAACAACGATTGGCTTGGGCGGCCTGCATTGGCTGTCGAAACGGGACCTCCCTCCAGCCGCCTGCGTTCGTCGTCGACTCGCCCTCGCTCCTCATGCTGCCCGTTGTCGCCATCGCCTGGGAGCTCCGCTCGCCCGTCGTCGTGGAGTCGCCCATCGCCCGTCGCCCGTCGCCCATCGCCAGCGTCGTGGAGTCGCCCGTCGCTCGTCCCCCTCTCATCTTCTTCTTCTTCTTCTTCTTCTTCTTCTTCTTCTTCTTCTTCTTCTTCTTCTTCTTCTTCTTCTTCCTCTTCTTCTTCCTCCTCTTCTTCTTCTCTCCTCCTCCTCTTCCGACTATATTTTTTTTCTTCTTTTTTTTTGTTCCATTCGTCAGCGATAGGTCACGAGATAAACGACAGCTTCTTCTTCTTCTTCTTCTTCTTCTTCTTCTTCTTCTTCTTCTTCTTCTTCTTCCTTCTTCTTCTTCTCCGCCTCCGCCTCCGCCTCTCCACCTCCGCCTCCACCTCTCCACCACCATACCCTACCGCCCTGCCGCCGCCGCCATCTTTTTCTTCTTCTTCTTCTTCTTCTTCTTCTTCTTCTTCTTCTTCTTCTCTCCTCCTCCGCCTCCCCCTCATCTTCTTCTCCTTCCTCTTCTCTCCTCGTCCTCATCTTCCGCCCATCTTCTTCTTCTTCTTCTTCTTCTTCTTCTTCGTGTAGGAGTGCCGCCACAGCCCGCCGCCATACCCCGCCACCACAACATACTGCCCTTCTCCTTCTTCTTCTTCTTCTTGTAGGACTGCCGCCACAGCCCGCTGCCATACCCCGCCACCACACCATACCGCCCTGCCGCCGCCGCCATCTTGTCCATCGTCTTGTAGGTCGCGTGAGGCGCGGCAGGTAAAAAAAAAAAAAATCCTTTCATAATACTTTCGTCCCTCCCTCCTATCTTGCCATAGTCCCTCCCTCCCTCGCCATCTCACCATCCCTCCCTCCCTCCCTCCCATCTCGCCATAGTCCATCCCATCTCCACATCTTGCCATACTCCCTCACTCCCTCGCCATCTCGCCA